ACAGCTGTGTTCTTCGGCTATGTGCAACAAGATGCCTGTTAGATCGTGCTCAAAGGGAACAAATTATAGGATGACTGACGTTAGCTCAGTGGAGGAAACCATTTTCTATCATTAGATTGGCCCACGACCACAGTATGTATGCATGGGCCATGCATGTGTCCAGGTGACACTGGAAGATGACCTGTGAAGGGATGGTTTCACAAGTGTGTTACAGAGTGACCAAGGTTTGTGGTCACTGCTTTGATATACTCTGAGATTCTGAAATGCTCGAAAGCTATTAAGTAAGGCTGTGCCACCAAGAAATGAATTCATTTACTACCAAAGAATGTTAAGCTGGTGGATTTTTCTCTACCAGTTTCTCTGTGCCTTGCTTGTGCCTCTGAAGCCTTCTTTTATTACTAAAGAATTCAAAACATGAAGACAAGATGTTGAAAGTCAGAGAGGGATGGCAATCCTGAGTTATGCCCAACAGCTGTTCTCTTTGATGTTAAAATCAATTGCCCAAAGGAGCAAAAGAGAAAACCTTCCAATCTTTCAATTGCATTCTTAGATCTCATAGCATTTTACATTTGAACTTCGAGTAGGAAAGCCTGGCAAAAGATGTGACCCTTGTATGGAAGAAAATATCATGATCACAGTTTGTTCTTCTTAGAAATTGTTCATAACTTCGACTATGTGACATACGATGACTTTACTTCAATTTACCACTGTGGTTCACAAAAATTAAATTTATCCCATTACTGAATTTAAATAAGGCATCTGACACTTCTTAAAAATAACAGAGGGAAAATGTATACTTGTCCTTTTTAACCTTCCACTTTCTATAAAATGTATTAATAGCAAGAAACTGCAGAATGGACTGCAGTAAATTTCAAGGTCACAAGTTTGGTACAGTAATGTTTCATCAACTTGGAGCTTATCAATTTAGAAAGAAGACACAATTGAAGCTTCCAGATACTGATTAAGGCAAATCATTTTTCATAATATTAAGATATTAATGCTGTATTTGTATAGAAACAATAGTACTAAGTAGAGTGGAGCCATACACTACTCATTAAAACATTCCTTAGCACTAAGGGCATTAAAAGTACATGTATACTGATGAGCACTGAGTAATATATAGCATTGTTTGATCACAATATTGTGCACCCAAAGCTAACATAACAGTGTATGTTAATTGTACTTGAATAAAAAGATGGTAAAGAATAATTCTAATGAATTGCCAAGTGAAATATCTAGAAAGGGTAGTTAATACAAAGAATGTCAGAAAAAAAGGACTCAAAAGCACTTAGTTGACGTTAAAGAAGATAGTTTCAGGCATTCAAAATGTTAATGCAATAGATGCAGTAAAGATAATTTAGAATATTTATCAATTTTCATATTTGAAAATTGGGGCCCAGAGAGGTAAAGTACTCCTTACTCAAGTCTGTGCAGTTGGTTAACTATGGAGTAAGGTCTAGAACTAGGTCTTCTAATCCCCTGTCAATTGTTCTTAATATCACACCACAGAGTAACTGAGTCCCAAAATAAATCAAGTGAAGACATGCTGTGTGAATGCCTGTATAATACAGTGAACTATCCTAAGCCTTGGAAAAGAAATAGGTACACAAAGAAGACACTGTTTTTCTTAAAAAACTTATGGTCTTGTGAAGAAAATAAATAAACCTGAAAAACTGCTTATAGTTCCAGATATTAATTCAAGAAATAAAAATATGTGATTGGCTTGCATGTTGGTGTGTGTTCCCATTAACGTTACAGGAGCTCCAAGGAGGGGCGCCTGAGTGACTCAGTCAGTTAAGCTTCAGACTCTTGGTTTCAGTTTAGATCATGATCTCATAGTTTGTGGGATTGAGCCCCAAGTTGGGTTCTGTGCTGACAGGGCGGATCTCTGCTTGGGTTTCTCTCCCTCCCTTTTTCTCTGTCCCTCCCCCACTTGTGTGCACACACTCTCTCTCTCTCAAAATAAATAAACATTAGGGATAAAAAGGAGCTCTTAGGAAACATGACTCCCCACGAGAAGGGGAGGTGGAGAAATTTTGGAGGAAGAAGTGGGAGTTGAATTGGATCTTGAAAACTCTGCAAGATTCATAGGGGAGAAAGAAAAGCCAGCATTTTAGGAAGATGGACGTGTGTGAATGGATACAAATTCTACTCATATCTGTAAAGAACTCCCCCAAAGCAACATAACTGTTTTATCGCTGGTATTAGGTAAGTGACAATATAATCTACCTACTTACTTAAGCATAGTTTTCGTCAAGAAGTAACAATTAAATGTTTACTATCTGTCCTGGTGAGTTGGGGAAGAAAAGATATGAACTGGGCACTATTAATGGAATGCTTTATTTACCGTTGACCCTTGAACAACATAGGTTTGAACAGTGCAGGTCCACTTCTACATGGATTTTTTCAATAAATAGAGCACAGTACTCTAAATGTAGTTTCCTTGTACTTTTCTTACTAACATTCTCTTTCCCCTAGTTTACTTTGTTATAAGAATAGAGTATAGAATACATATAATATACACAATATATGTAATCAACTATTTATGTTATTGGTAAGGCTTCCAATCAACAACAGGCTTTTAGTAGGTAAGTTTTTGGGGAGTCACTATGTGGATTTTCAGCTGAGCAGGTGGTCAGCACCCCTAACCCCCTCATTGTTCAAGAGTCAACTGTATTTACTTACTTATACCTCATTATTTCACAAAGACACTGAGGTAGCTTTTAAAAATTGAAAACATCAAAGAAAAAGAATAAAAAATAAAAATTGAAAACAAAAATTGAATAAAATAAATTAAGGAAAACAATAAACCCAGAAGTAAAAGCAGCACATAGAGAAGAGCAGAATATACAGTCTGGATGGTTGTTAGTCTGCGGGTGGGGAAAGGGGGATGGAAATACACTTGGCCCTTTTCAGTATTTGTAAGATTTTTCCTGCATTAGAGTAAAAATAAAGCAAAAAGCTTGTAATTCAAAAGGAGCTGAGCCTCCCCTAATAGTGAGATGAAAGAAATTTCTCCTGAGTCCTCATAAAGAAGCCACTGAATGATACAACAGGTGCTGTCCTCAACCCCACCCCTAACTCTATGGTTCCAACGAGTAATTTCCCATGGTGGTTCTCACACCATCCCTCCGTGTAGGACAACAGCATCATGCATAGGTATGACACACTGCAAAACAGTGTGGCCCATAGGCTTGGTTCTACTGTAATGTAAGAATAAAATTTAGACTGTGTACTACTGGATTGGAGGGACCATATGCTCTCCAGTTCATATGGATTCATTTATTCACTCAAAATTTATTGATTGCATACAATGTGACAGACATGGGGAAAGAGCCATGAATAGAAGAGACAGTCATTTTCATGAGTTAGTGGTGGGAGAAGGATCACAGACAAACATAAGGCAGGGAAAAAAGGAGAGAACATGGTGGTCAGTGTGAAGTTGCTAGTTAGAAAGGGTAATCGCAGATAACCCCTCAGATATGGTAACGCTGCAGAGAAACCAGCATGACATGAGGAAGGATACTCTAAGATGTCTGGGAGAAAACTGTTGCAGGCAAAGGGAACAGTTAGTGCGGAGGCCCCAAGAGGGAAGCCTGCTTGGCATGTGTGAGTAACTGCCAGACACCCAGCCAGTCAGAGGCAGGATAAAGGTCTTCTTATGATAATGAATGAGCCAGGATGAGGTGAGAAAAAAGGACAAAGACAGAGTCGATTTTCGCTTCAGAAAGTTCCCACAGTGTCCGCTTCAACACAAGCCAAAGGAAGCTGAGGACCGGCAGTGTGTAACATAGAACACAACCGTCATCACGTCAGCTTAACCACTATGCTAAAACATGCATTGAAATCATCCACTGCAGACCTGAGCTTCTGTCTAAAGCCTGCCTATACTATGTAGAGAATATCAGAGCATGAAAAACTAAGTCTTATCATTTCTGACACTTAAATATCCACAGAAAGTTCTAAATTTGCTTCCTGGTGAAACATCCAACATTTTTTGAATGCAAATCATACCTCTATGTAACTGACATGCAATATCAAATTATTCATTACATTTAAGCCAACTGAATGCTGCAGGGCATCTTTCGAAGGTGTTGACTTTGATTTTTAAGACAATCTGGCCAATTGTGTGGTAGTAGAATCCACTGTCTGTTGAGGGCACTAATGTGTGTCAACAAAACTGTATCATCAGTTTAGAGCACACAATTTATGTTTGCTTCCTCTTAGCAGGGGGCATGCATCCAGAACACTGAAAAATAGCATCTAGTCATTTAGACACAGGTGCAGAGAGGAGGGGAATAAAAATAACCATGTATGCCATGAGAAATGTTCTCTTTTCAGAGTCTGTTCTATAAGCCTCTGCGATCTTTTAACAGGTATGGAGACACAGGATCTATTATCAGTAATTGGTTCCAGATTGAGTTTGGAGAGCTGGCTCCATTTAGCAAGTCCCCAGGAAAATATAAGAAATAACAATAAAACTAGCAAATACTGTGTATTGTTCTTGACAGATTTGCCCCAAAGTGATAAAGAATACATCAATGACCTCTAATGACCTCTAATCTTTGTCTAAAGGCTACCTTTACTACATAAAATTATTGGAGTAAGAAAAATAGGCTTGTAATTTCTGTCAAGAAGAAAACAGACACAGAGGTTAGTTGTCCAATATTGGTTTACAAACTGAATCATCAGTACCAAAATCTGGGTAATTTTAATTTATACAGTCAACAGCAAAAACTTTTAAGTTTTTGTTATTATTATTTTGAAAGACAGAGAAAGTGCAAGTGGGGGAGGGGCAGACAGAAGAAGAGAGAGAATCCCAAGCAGGATCCATGCTGTCAGTGTAGAGTCCAATGGGTTCAAACTCATGAACTGTGAGTCATCCAACTCTTGATTTTGGCTCAGGTCATGATCTCACAGTTCATGAGTTTGAACCCACTCAGGCGTCCCTCAACAATAAACATCTAAAAAAATATGTGAAGTTCAAAGCAAATAATTACCTGCTCGGCCAGCAATGAAGCTAAGCTTGAATATGCATCTGCAAACTCTGGACCGTATTTAATGGAGTCCTTCAGTAAGGTGATAGCCTCCTCTTTTTTCTCCTGGGACCTAGAGGTTATAAAGAGGGAAAACACAATAGCTTTTAACAATACTATGTTTTAATCCTCTGATTAGGTGTTAAAATCTGATTTCTTTTAGGAAAGATTACCTGATTCCCTCTGGATTACATTGCAAATGAATTAAACTAGATTGTCTCAAGATACTAACAGTTTCTTTCTCTGAAGTCTAAGCGGAAAGAGATGCAAATGATGCTGCAGGTTATTCACTGATTTTTCTACCTTCTAGTTCCTCCTGTGCACTTTTTTGAGAATTTTATTTAATATTTTACAAGTGTGGGGTGCCCGGGTGGCTCGGTCTATTAAGCATCCAACTGGGTTTCAGCTCAGGTCATGATCTCATGGTCCATGAGTTCGAGTCCCACGTTGGGCTTGCGCTGACGTGTGTGGAGCCTGCTTGGGATTCTCTCTCTCCCTCTCTCTCTGCCCCTTGTCCACTTTCTCTCTCTCTAAATAAGAAAATAAACTTAAAGAAAGATTTTTAATATTTTGCAAGTTTGTTAACCAGAAACCTTGACTCTCAGAGGAGCAGTGGTGAAGGCATTCAAGGGAGCCAGTTTACAATGATGTGGAGGATGTGCTGAGGCCCTGGAGGACTAGCTGTACCACCACAGGCTGGGTGCTCACAGTGGCCGAGCCACCTGTCAGGGATGAGCCAGCCAAACTGCTCATGTGAACCTTTGCTCTTGCTGTTCATGAGGGATCCATTTATACATAATTTACGAAGTTAGGAAATACTGTGACTACTGGCTGACAAAGAATGATCGGCTGTTTTATTCATCATAGTTTTATTGAAAACCTGGGCTAGTTCTGTCTTCTTCGTTTTATTCTTCTCTCGAAAGTGATTATTTCTGATTCAAAGAAGGCTTGAGGCCCCAAAGTTATTACCAGTATTTTGGGTGTCAGTTCTCTTTCCTGCTAGTGCCATGGGGGAAACAGTGGGTCATTATGCTGATATCGACATTTTTGAAGTAAAAAATATACAGTGGCAGTGATCAATTTCACCACAAACACAATTTCACAAACACATGCCACTTGCTAAGCAGTGGGATGAAAAATAACCAGAATCCCTGGAAGTATAGACAGCATACAGCCCAAGAGTCCCTCTGTCTTTAGCATAGATACCACTATGGAGTTGTGTGCCTATGTTTTCACTATTTAGGGTCAACAATCATTCGGCAATGTGCCATAGACTCTGGTAAATTTTTACGTAATGTTATAAATTTTCGCAACAATCCCACACAGCAGGTGTTCATTGTCCTATCATATTCATTTTTCTAATGAGAAAATGTGGATTCAGAAAACTCAAGTGACGCGTCATGTTCATGTAATCAGTCTTCTGGGTTGAGATCCAGTGCTCTTCCATCACACCGTATCTGCTTTTTCTAACTACTTATAAGTCCACCTCGCATGACTGTGTGATTCATGGACCAGTATCATCAACACCACCAGGAGCTTGTTAGAAATGCAAAGCCTCTGGCCCCATTCAGACCTCCTGAATCAAATCCTACATTTAAAAAAGATTCGCTGGTAATCTGTCCGCATACTGAGTTTTCAGCAGAATTGCTCCATAAATTAGCAAAGGTGGCTCAGTGTGGCTCCTGCTGCAAACCCCCTATGGCTTCAGTCTCCAAAGATCTGTAGAGGAAAAACTAATATTGACATCACAAGTGTGAGTTCCAAGTACTAGAAGCAGCATGCTACAAGGCAATTTTACCTGGAAAGGAGTCTTCTACCATAGACCTTGAAAAAAAAAGAGTCATGCTTCCAGCAAAGACCTTCCATTTAACTGTTCGAGTTGGTAAGCATTTATCATTATCTATTACATGTTAGCCATTTTCTAAGGAAGACGGCTGTCCATGCACTCCTCTTCTTATCGGGGACAGAGCTAACTGGGCTCTTCCTGATGCACACTCCTGCCCTAGATACCAAGGCGTAACACCTGCGCCCTTCAGTGGATTACCTTTGTGATGTGGCTTGAAAGTTGCAGGGTTATAAGAAATTTGCATCACAGCTGTCTTAGTGCTGTTTTTTTTTTTAATTGATTCACTCATTTAGTTAACAAACATTTAAAGAGTGTCTGTTAGACTCTACGGAAGTCCAGGATGTTTACATACTTCTGGGTTTTTAATCTAAAATGTACCTCGAGGTACTTCTTCCATGGGCACTTGTAAATGAAAGCTTATTTTTTAATATTGGTGATTTGACACTGATTTCATGCTTAGCAGAGCTCTTTTGCCAAGGATTTCATAATACTTTATTAGCATTAATTTGGAAATTCTCCCAAAATCCACAAAGAAGATCTGGACTTAGGAAATTAAGGCTGAAGATGAAGTCCCTCAGGACATAACTGAGCTTGGATACTCTTCAAAATAAACAGGAAAAAAAAAACCCACAACAATTTGATAGGAAAGAATTAATGATTTTCATTTGTCATGGCTCCTATCAGTTAGAATGGCAACTTGAACTTTTTATATATATATATGAATTCAGTGAGATTAATGACCACTTAATGACACCTAGGAATCTAAACACTTGAGGCTGTCCATTACCATTCACATGACATGGTGGAAAGATTCACATCAAAGTTACTCACCAGGAGTTCAATTCTTTATGAAAAACTGTATTTCTACTATTCTCTTGAGGGGCTGGCACATTTTCAGAAAAATAACTCATCATGCAATTTTGTTTAGTACAGGAGTACTGCAAGGTGCAAAGACCAGGCAGACAGGGCATTTCCTCTTGGCACTGCATCCCTGGATGATTCTGCTCTTTCCTGGGAGCCTTTGAGAGTCAGACACCAACAGCTGTCAGGTACATGCCACCTTAACAGATATTTTAAAATGTTTTTTACAAAAGCCTGAGGAATTGATAAGCAATTTTGTTGTTTTTGTTTCTGAAAGTGAAAGAAATGGTTAAGAAGAGATATTTCTTCTAGTCTTATTTTGTTCAGCCTTTGGAGGGAGCTTGTGAAATAGGTGTGGTTTTGACACAATAACTTATAGAGGACAATTAATCTCAGCAGTATTTTCTCTGGTCATATAGTACCATGATTACCACTTGAGAACTGAACTTCATTTCAACCCGTTTCTGGTTTCAGAGGCATCCCTTTTCCTATCCACGTTACAGCCCATGTTTCTCTACTAATTGCCTCATGTTAATTAAAAATCGGTGGCCAAATTCCTACGATTCTATTGACTAGACTACACCTTACTCAGTTTTGCTCGCTAACACCTTAGTTCACAACCTGCTTCTAGTCGCCTCTTTCTTCTTGTACTACACGCAGATAACCTACAGATACGTATTTTGTAGAGCACTGCTTTCAACACATTCCTTTATATAAAAATCTTCATTAATGCCCTGCTGCATACACACTGTTTAAAACCTTCCACAATATGGTTCTGACCAACATTCCAAACATAACCAGGTACCCACTAGTCCAGCCAGACTGTGTGGACTCTGGCCTTTATCCTACAGAACCTAAGAGATGATCTATTTCACTGCTTTTCTACCCTCGCTGTACTTTAAAATCACTTAAGGTGCTTCTAAAAAGACCTTGGTGTTCTTAGGCTGGACTTCTTAAAAGGAAACTCTCCATATGATTATGACAGCCATCCAGGTTTGAGAATTATGGCCATAAGCCATCTGTCTTGATGCAAAGTAGTGGATAATGAGACTCAGAGGGCTTTGGTGATTTGCCTTGGTCCCAAGTGAAAAGGAAGGCCTCATACAGGTCTCGTGGCCTCTCAGCCTGGTATTTGTGCCCTGATGCTTCACAGATGGCTCTCCCCTCCCCTCCACTCAACGCTCTTTTCCAGTGGATTATCATCAGCTGACTCGCCAGCTCAAAGCAGGATCCCTCCTCAGACTTCCTACACATATAACAAAATTAGAAAACATACATACGCTGCCTTTCTTGTAGTTTTCTTTCTGTATCTCCACAAGGGAAAAGATGGGAGAAGAATAGCTGCCTGGACACCCTGCTATGGCCCCAAAAGGGGCCGCTGCCTGCTGTTCTTCAGTTCAACATTTTATTTATTTAAAAAAATGTTTTAAATATTTTTTTTAAAATTTATTTCTGAGAGAGAGAGAGACAGCGTGAGTAGGGGAGGGTCAGAGAGAGAGGAAGACAGAGAATCTGAAACAGGCTCCAGGATCTGAGCTGACAGAGCCTGATGCTGGGCTCGAACCCACGAACCGTGAGATCATGACCTGAGCTGAAGTCGGATGCTTAACCAACTGAGCCACCCAGGCGCCCCATTCAGCTCAACATTTTAAAGGGTGACTGGTCTCCAACATGCTTTTCTCCTCCAGGGCCATGGCGCAGCGCGTGAAGCGCCCTGCCCCTGGCCCCCAAGGAGGGAGTGTCTGTCCACCAGGGAGTGGGCTACGCAAGGCCTGTTGTTAAGGCTTCCCATTTCCCAAAAGCTGTGTGCATTTACTCTCTGCTAAGGACCCGGTAAGTGATTCTTTTCTATTATTCATTTTAATTCTCCTTAAGGATAATGAATTAGGCATCATGATTCCCATTTTTAAGATTTAGGAAACAATATCAGCAACTCTACCTCAACACAAATAAACTGAGATTTGGAGAGCTAAGTGATGGGCCCCCCAGCACACAGCTAGTGTGACACCAGGATTCTAATTCAGAACTTCCCATCTGTCCCATTCTGTGGGCAGGCCACACTCAACACTTCTGCATCCACTCTCTTAAATGTTGGGCAATGTCTGGGACCATTACTAGGTTTTAACTCCTTCATAGGCAAGACCCATGACTTATTAATCTTATTTCTTTTATACTAGTGATCTGTACACAGTAGAAATTCAATAATTTTAGTAAAGTGACCTGTACATAGTAGAATTCAATAACTGCTAAATTAATCTCTTTATTTAAAAAAAAATCCCATGGTTTTACTATTTTCTTTATTCCTAGATCTTTGTAAACCTTAAATAAGCATCTTGGTATTCTAATCAAATTTGACAGAGGTGGAT